CTCTACCACTTGAGCTACAGCGCCACTTCCGGTTTTCTGGTGGTTTATTGGAGATAGGAGTCTCACGGTCTTTCCTACCCGGGCTGGCTTTGAACGGCGATCCTCAGATCTCAGCCTCCTGAGTAGCTAGGATTACAGGCGTGAGCCACCAGCGCCCGGCTGTGTTTGTGACTTTAACTAATCATCACTATCCCACAATACTGTGAATTTTGGGAAATTATGTAATCACTTAATCACAATAAAGAATTTGGGGGAAAAAAAACCATGTTGTACATAACAACTAAATACAATTTTATCATCTTTTTAAATTATAAATTTGAAATAAATGGTTAACATTTCTTTTTGTCTTGATGGCATGTAAAATAACAGTGTCTCATATTCAAAATTTTATTTCTCTAAAACCTATTTGAAACTATTTTTCTAAGGCAGTGTTTATTTACATACAAAAAAGCTAGCTACATTGTAGATTGCATTGTTGTTAAAACCTATGAGATGATTTTGCCAATTTTTCACCTCTTTGAGAATATATACTACAGATAGATAGATAGACTTGATATTTTATTTAAGTAAATATATTTCCTTTATTTTATTAGGAAGAAAATTCTCGAAAAAGAATCCTGTGTCCTTTAGATCCAAAACAGTAAGTATAGAAATAAGGATTTTTCTATACTAGAAGCAATAAATATTGAAAATCTCATTTAAATTTTTCTCCTTAAATTTAGCACAGTATATGAAGATCAACTAGCAAAGCATTTGAAAAAATGTAATGCAAGAGAGAAGCCAAAACCTGTAAGTGTTGGACCAGTAAAATTAAATAGTGAAATCTCTGGTATATAATGTTTATCTACATACACATTAGTGTATTACATTTAGTGTATTACAAATGGACATATTATTAACAAGACTCTTTAGGCTTGAATTTGGTAAATTCATTTAAGTGAATATAATATGTGGGATTTTAAATACAGTTAAGAGTCATAATTCAGAATAGAATTTTATAGAAAATAAGCATTATTGAGGGCATCATGACCTTTACTCATTCCACTTTATTGCCACTGTTAAACATGTAATTAAAGCTAAATTCACAATGGTATTTTATGCCATCTGTCAGCCAAAAGCCATTATTATATCACATGATATACCCAGGGGTTACTTTCATTTTTGAATCAAGATTTGTAAAATGGTATTATTTTGTGCATCTGAATGTATACAGTATAGCAGCCACTGAACACTTAGGCTTTTCTAATTTGAGACTAGGTTAATTTTAAACTAATCTTGAAAATCTAGTTTCACATTCTTGGGAGCCATATTTTACATCTAGATGCTGTAAAACCACATTATTTAGGGTAGAATAGAACATTTCCATCATTGAAGAAAGTTCTGTTCCATAATGTTGATCTAAATCTTTACCTAGAATTTATCTCTTTGCAAATAGGCTTAAAAGAT